GACGATTTTTACCCTTCCCTTACAGAAAATGGCCGTTGTTTCACTTTCAATTCTGGGAAAAATGGAACAAAAATTCGTAGTACACGAAGAGCAGGATCTTCCGGCGGCCTTAGTATAATTGTGGACGTACAAGCGAATGAAAACACCATCAGTGAATTTTCTCGCGGGCTAAGGGTAATAGTGCATGATCAGGGAACTTTCATAAACTTGGAGAGTGGATTCAACGTGTTTCCTGGATCGCATACTTTGGCAAGAATAACAACGTCAAAGGTAGGTTTTGCATACGTCAAATTGTAAAAGTTATTATTCCATTGGTTACTCTTACTTTTTTTAATTTCCACGGATCCGATAATTCGGCAAATTTTAAACGGAAATTTTAATCAAGGACCATTCAAGGCCAGACGTTTCGTGCTCTAATCTTGATTAGCCACAGGGTTGTGCTAATCAGGATCAGAAATTTAATTAAAAGTAGGCCTTTTTTAAAGTTGAACCCTTACGCTGCAATGTGAGATGTAAATCGTACTGATCCATACATGGCAAACTTCACAAATCGCTCAGTCCTTAAATATAAACTCATATATATATACATTTTTTTTATGACCAGGTCAGTGTTGTCTGATCAACCGCTCTCTAAGGGAGCGCAGCTGCCACCGGGTGTTCGGTCCGGCTCGAAGCCGTAATGAACTTAATAAATTTTTCTTCATGATTTCATAGAATAAAAACAGCATAACTATAATTCGCTCCTTTCTACACAGAATGTCAACAATTTATATCATTGAAACTGCACTAAACTTGAGCTAGAAATCAATTTTTTTCTTAAAATTTGTCAAAAATCCATTTGGCCCTCATTAGTGTTAAAGGTTAATTAACTCGCTCCTAGAATCGGTTACCTGTCATTTTTCTGAGTTTTCAAGATGAGAAATCATTATTATTGGACTTGAGATTCAAGGATGTGTTTGGCAGCTTTGCTACGAGCATGCTTCAAGCTAAGCGTTGCTGCTCTGCACCAGAACTCAGTGGACGAAAATCATC